TGACTGTCATATTGAAATACGAAGAAATAACGACAATAACGATGAAACGATAACGAATAAACGCACGTAAAACGGTCGAAAACGCACGCAAACGATCGAAAACGCACGCAAACGATCGAAAACGCACGCAAAACGGTGGCACGCAAAACGGTCGAAACGTTTGTAAAACGGTCGCTTTCCCCATTTTCGAATGTTAACTCCACAATACGTAACTCGACACCTTTGGTGCCATCTCCTTCTTCTTCCGATGGTGCTAACTTGGTTAACAAAGATACGAGGCTTAGTGTCCTTCTGACATGTTGGAACGCTAGACTTCTGTTAAACCGACATGTTTTTTTTCTTAAATGATGTATTTTGAAACGCCCTGTATACACATCAATATCATATTTTGAACCGACGTGTTTTTTTCCTTGAAAGATATATTTTGACGCACCCTGTACACTTCGACGCCATATTTGTTTTCAATTATATATTTTGAGATACCTTGTACACATTGAGGGATCGCACGTTGAAAACTTACAGCCTCGTGGAACCGTTATGTTTTTTTTTTTCTAAATGATGTATTTTGACGTATCCTGTATACTTCGACGCCATGTTTGTTTTCAATGATGTATTTTAAGATACCTTGTAACAATGAGGGATCGCACTTTGAAACGATACAGCCTCATTAATCTGTAATGTTTTTTCTTAATAATGTATTTTGACGCACCCAGTACACTTCGACGACTTTTTTTTTCTCTTAATGATGTATTTTGAGACATCCTGTATACAATGAGGGATCGCAGGTTGGGTTGTCATATTGTTTCTTAAATCTGATTCATCATTATAAAATATATCATTTTCGCGCTTCCAATTTTCATCGAGTCTTTCACGCCTAATTTTGAGATGGAGATGGAGATGGTATTGAGGTAAAACATCAATACCATCTCCATCTCTCTTTGCCTCGATTACGTCACACGCGTCTCTCGCTCTTACACACACATGCACATCTTTACATGAAATATTAATTAATTCCCAAATCTAAGTATATTTTCCTATCTTCAACATGATAATGACGAAATCAAAAAAAAATGCTGTCAAGTATAATGAATGAGTCAATTTCGGTCCCGATAAAACTAACGCTATGAATACCCAACATTCGCAGTTACTTTCAATATCTTACGTTGGTGTAGAGGCTAAGGACAATGTCTACCACGCGGACGTCGTGGGTTCGATTCTCATAACTATAAACTTTTTTCAGTTAGAATCACGTGACTGGAACGAGACAAGGGGGCCGAGGGGTGAGGCGGAGTCCCAAAGGGGGCCGAGTTCCACGCTTGAATCGCTACGATACTCATTCCATCCTGCGTCGATGATGTCACCCGTTTCTCTCTTCCACTCACTAAAGTTTCTCTCTGAAATACTTAACAGCGACGCACGACCTTGAAGTAGGCTCGTACATACATTGTTCATCTACTGTTTTAGAGTGAGGAATTAGTTTACTTCATCTCCTGAAGATGATAACTCGGTTGGTTAAACGCGCATTGATAAAGGTGTTACATTTCTGGTGTTCGGGAGCAGTGCCTGTTTTGGATTTATGTCACTCCTGAGGATTCAGTTCTACCTTTCACTTTGATACTATATATAGACATTATATCAACCACAGTTCATTCATTGTTGAATAGTGAATTGATCGGAATCAAATTTTGTGATATGAGGAATTGAATGACCTTGAAAGTAACGAAAATACAAAAAGGAATGATGCCCCCAAAGTTGTCAAAAGATTAACGGTCGAAGAACATTCATCAGCAGATAGTGGAGAAAAAAAGAAAATAACACGCCAGTCGGAGGTAGAAGAAAAACGGCGCACAAGGTCAACCAGTTAGAGATACTAAATTATACTGAAAGTAATTAAAATATATACATATACTTCACTACATTATTTAACACTTGTTCATTATGGTCTTCTGTAATCAATTTCACATAATTACCTGTGCGCAGTGTTTACACCTGCTGCCAAACTAGTAAATATACCATCCGTACTATTTTTTTTGTACCTTGAGAGAGCTGTCTGACTTGTCCTTTAGTCCAAGTCTCCAAAAAACACTGCAGCCTCTTGGGCTTATTGCGTTTATTCGTACTAAACAAGCCAGGATTTATCAGACTTGAGCCCGAGACACACTTCTTCATACACCTCTCCGATCCGACTCCGGTTTGATTTTGCCACAAAAGCGGATCGGTGCAGGATCGCCAGTGGGTAATCACACTTGTTATACATGTTTCCGACTTCTTTTCGATTTACCATTCCGGCTTGTTACAATTGCCACTATCGCCAGTGTCGATTCAAACAATATCTCGGAAGGTAATCTGGTTTTAATGACATTTTTTAAATTTATTTTGAAGAAAAAATACTCAAATATCATACAAACTCCAAGCGATACGCGTCTCGCAGCTGGAGAACAGACTGCACGATCGGATCATGCTCGGATACAGGAACGGAGTCGGGTGGAAGCGGGGTTGGCCACGTATCGGAACGATGTGAACTACTGTATTCGGACTAAAGTACTATTTCCCTCTCATACACTCGTTCGACTGTATGATGGGAGTCGGATCTGAAGGGTGTATGACAGGTGTGTCCCGTCCTTTAATGTATCACTAACAAAAAATTGTTAACAAGAAAAACTTAATGATATGGATTCATATATTAGGGACTTTTATACACAAAAATTACAAACAGAGAGTAAATTTCAACGTATGCAATTCGTCATGTTCTCACAAATAAGAATATGAATATTTACAAGTATAATTGAAAATAAATTCACAATTCATCATTCACATCTCTATGTGTACTCGTATTATTCTAGGTTTATTCATATGTTTTAATTCACATTTGTTATCATTGTTCATCACGTGGGGCACTCTGTAGTGTTGGACTTACCCTATAGAATATACAGCAACTCTGCAAATGTGCAGTCATCAATGAACAATGGCCATATTGAGAATAGAATACTGAATGAAATATAAAACATATTACATATGATGAAATTGGCCGATACTTGATGAAAATCCATAAGTAACGTATTCAAAAAAAAATGTTATTGTGAGATTTTCACTAAACAGTTTTACAAAAACGCAACACGTGTTTTACCATACAATGGCTTTTTCGGGTATATCTTTACTAACTATATTCTCTATATATTATCTGCTCAATAAACCCAATTTTACTATTTGAAGTACCTACATTTCAAATACCTGACTTTTACCTGAGTTTGTAATGAATTAAATAACCTGATCTTAGGTCCCAGTTTCCACATTTGAAATAATATTTAGTAACGGGGAGTTATTCAATTCTAAGTGATCATTCAGTGAATTACCCGAATTCTTGAATCTGTTGATTTGTAAACATTCTAGTAAGACTGAGTTTCAAAAACGCCGTATACATGATTGAACTCATCTCCTTCTGCTAGAAGATGATTTGCAAATGTAGAAGTGGTCTTTTTATTCACAAAACTATTCAATTCTATTTGAATATCTCGGAAAATGTTCTACCTGTTTGGCCAATATACTGTTTTTGGCAAGAGCCACAAGTCAGCTCATATACTTCTAATATATCCAACACCGAAGTTCTGTCTTTATTGTTTTTAATAAATTTACTTGGACTATTATTCGTTCTGTAAGATACGTTTACGCATTCTTTCTTCAAAAAACAGTCAATGTTATTGGTTGGTTCACCCAAATGTGAAAATGTCCTATAACCGACGTTATCGCATCTTGAATTTGGGTAGATCTGGTCTATCAAAATACCTGCTTTTGTTGTTTTTTGGAAAGAATGGAGTCTATAATATCTACCTTATAACCGTTGTTGACCGCCATTTGTTTGATAAAACCCAGCTCTCTATGGAAATTACTCTCCGACAGTGGAATATTCAATAGTCTGTGAAGCATAATATTGAATGCAGCAACTTTATGCTGGTAAGGGTGTGTAGAGGAATTATGTAAGATAATGTTCGTGTAAGATGGTTTGTGGAAAATTGCATGTTCATGTTTATTGTTATTTTTCGTAATGGTTAAGTCTACATAATTTATTGAATTATCTACCTACCTCTCAGTGGTGAATTTTATTGACGAGTGAATGGAATTGACATATTCAACGAACTTGCCTAATTGCCTATCTGTACCAGTGAAACAGACTAAAATATCATCTACGTATATGTACCAGTACAAGAAACTGTTACTTAACTGATTATTATGGATTCCAAACTCTATGTTATCCATGAAAATTTCTCCAAAGGACTCAAAAGGTTCCCCATTATTAGTCGTTCACTGCGTGAAAAAAAATTTTGGAAATGATTTTAAGATAGACACACAGGAAATTTCAGATTTACTTATTATTTGACCATCTCATAGATAGACTAACTGAAGTTTTTAAATTTACTCATTATTTGTCTATTGGCCAAACAGGAAGAACATTTTCCCAAAGAATTGAAGAGCATAGAAAACGTTTGGTGAATAGAAAGACTAATTTTACATTTTCAAACCACCTTTTAGCAGAAGGACATGAGTTCAATCATGAATACGACGTGTTACATTTAGAAGAGAAGAGTTTGAAACTCAATCTTCTAATATGTTTAGAAATCAATAGATTCAAGAATCCGGGTAATTTACTGAATGATCAATTACAATTGAATAACTCCCCGTTACTAAATATTTATTCAAATGTGGAAACTTGGACATAAGCTCAGGTAATTCAATTTACAAACTCAGGTACTTGAAATTGTAAAATTAGGTATATTCAGTATTGCATATGTAGACTGTAGTTAGAAAAGACACGCCTGAGGAAGCCATTTTATGACAAAATACGCGTTTTCGTAAAACTGTTTATTGAAAATTTTACAATAAAGTGTTTTTTGAATAAGTTGAAACATGAATTAGACTGGACTTTTATCTCTACACCAAACCGTTATTTTAACACCTCGACACGTGTTATCCTTATTCATACCATAGATACCTCTGTTACCTACCTGTTACATTGGGTAAATATAAAAGACCGTCCATCACACCTTGATATGAAAATTGATATAAATAAACTGGAGAAAACTTCGAAGCCAGTTCAGCGTGGCGACTTGCAGGTGTAATGAATGTATCACCACTCAGGAACTAGAATGAAAATGATTCATTGAAAATATATTATTGGAAAAATAATCGAATATGTATGATACTGTACGAAAAAATGTTATTATAGACCAGGGCTGAGAGCTTCAAAAATGGTAAACAGTGAAAAAAAATAGTAGTAAGATGAAACCCTTCAGAAAAGGAGAAGAATATGATAGAAATGAAAGAACAAATAATACGAACGATCTGAGTTCGAAAAATGGGGTGGGGGTGATTCTGAAATATGTCACCTTTGTTTGTCTCATACAGGTAACAGATTCATTGTCCTTTAGTAGCCATAACCGATGTTGCCAAATGGTTCAATAGAAACGAATCCCTTTAAATGTTGAATGCATTATTTCATTCCCCTTTTTTAAGTATTTAAATAATTTTTCAAAGAGGAAGGTTGAAATGATAAGTTTAAAATGCGTTGTTTTAGAGCTTTTTTATGAAAACTACTTGATTTTCGTCAGGAGGAACATGCCCAATTCTGTAAATTACCACGGAGAGTATGAAGAAGGAATGAATTTTGGCAGTGTGAACTTCAAAAACATTTCAGACATCCGTTAAAATAAAAGAAGATATTATAGCCATCCATATATTATTGCTATTTCAAAGAATATCGATTACGATAGACAGTGAAACAGATATGGAAACTTATTTACAATACGAGCTTGCACCTTTTCCACTGTCACTTTTTACAGAAAATGGCCTCAGAAAAAATGTAAAATCTCAACTCTACGAATTATTCGTGAATTTGAATAGACCAACGTATTCTGACGGCATAGTGCATGTCATCGACGATGTATTTTTACAGCACAAAGTGATTTGGCAGAAAAATGAAACGGTGGAAGAGATCATGAATGAATATTTGCGCTATTTAGATAAACATTACGCATCAATCAGCTATATTGTCTTTGATGGGTACCCCGGAATAAAAAATTCAGTTACAGTTACAACAGTAACACTAGCTACTTCACCTAAATGAGGAGAACGTAGTAGTAGAAAAACTTCAGAAAATATTTCAGAGTTTGATTATCAAAACCGTAAAAAATACCATCCTGCAAAAACAATTTTTATCTAACGTGAAAAATAAGGACAAAATAATAAACTTTAATGAAAAGATTACAATCACAAGGGTTTTTCTGAAAACAAGTAGAAGAAGATGCTGATACTGACATAATAAGGACCTCGATAGAAATTGACAAAGATACTAATAAAATTGTCATTGTTGTGGGCCAAGATATTGATCTTTTGGTCCTTTAAAATCAATTGAATTCAATCAATCATGGCATTTATTTTCTCAAATCAGGTTCTGGAAATGTGAGTATTGTTGCATTTTTGCATTGTTTTTCGGGTTGCGATACACCATCTGGATTTGCCGAAAAAGGAAAGAAAAGTATCATAAATTCATTATTAGACGCTTACAATTTGTCAAGTTTGACCAATGTCTTTTATAAGAAAGATTAAAGTAAAGAAAATATAAAAAATGGATTACAATTAAAGAAATTTATTTATCTAAAAATTAAAGAATAACAGTGAATCAATTAAGATTTCACAAATATCAATTGACAAAAATTGAATCATCTTTAATTTTGGCAAACCTCCCACCTACAGAAGGATCAGCAGAACAACATTGTTACAGGCCATATTATCAGCTTCAAACTTGGTTGGGTAACGAACTGATAGAAACATATTGGGGCTGGAAGCAACATCAACATGGCATTATGCCCAAATTTACAGAATAGCTATTAATTCCGGAAATATTGCTTAAAACTATTTGCTGCAGCTGTGAAACTGGATGTAACAGTCGAAAATATGGTTCAAACTGCACAAATTTATGCACAAATTGTCATGGTTTTGAAAATTGCTTCAATGTGAAAGAAAAAACCTACGAGAAAGTTAATGATTCAGATGAAATTGTGGATGAAGAAATTATATTGGAGGCAAAGAAGGTGGTGGTTTTGAAGATTTCGAAGATCAACTAGAATTAAAAAGGTTTGAAGAATCTAACGATGAAGAAATGCCATCAAAGAGACAAAAACTAATGGAATAACGTTTTTAAAAATATTGTAATCAATAACGTAATCTGAATAAAGTATCTAAATTCAATAGTACGATTTACATGTATATTTATATTTTATGAGATTTTCTATGACATGAATGTAATTATAATTCAATAAATGAACTTTTTAACTGAATAAAATTTCAGGAATCACATTTTTTTAAGAAATTGTACATAAAGATTGGAAAAAAAATTTAGAATTCGAGTTTTTTTCGATTTTTTGCATTTTCTGATAACATTTACTATAGTAACAAATTTTTTTACACCATCAGAAAGTAGAGATTCCAACAAATGGAAAGTACACCAACTTTTTGAAAAAAAACTGATATTTTGACTCGATAATTAGTGTGCTTTTTTGATATTAGGTCAAAATAAGGTGAAAAAATGAATATTTCAAATCAAATAAATTACAGTGTATTTGGGACAAAAAAACTGACATTTTGACTCGAGAATTTTCGATTGAAAATTAGGGTGTTTTTTCGATATAAATACTTAAGGTGAAAAAATGAATATATCAAATCAAATGAATTACAGTGTATTTGAGACATAGCATTATACTCATTTTGCTACATCAACTCAAATAATTATATTTCATTTGACGATAAAATAGGTGAGGCCAAAGAATATTCCAGGAACTTCCTTCACTAGCACACAGGTTTTTCTAACCATTCGAAAAAACTCTTTTTGATGTGTTTGATTCTCCAAACAAATTCACCTGTGCTAGAAGAAATGTATTCTGTGAATAATTCACCAAGTTCTCTTATATTCATTGTAAGTCACCAAGATGATACAACGAAAAATTTAGGAAGGATTTTATGATAAAGCATGAAAAATTCCCAGAATAATCATTATGAGTATTTTGTTTTGGAATGAATAATTCATTTAATTTTCTACAACTGGGAAAAATTAACAAAACAAATTATATTTACCCTAATGAATGCTCCAGGATCATTCTTGAATGTTCCATTCGTATAAATAGATTTATATTTTGAAGCCGCAATTCCCACATCTTTGTCTGCCACATGCAGTCTTGAATCTATAATATAACTTGCATTTTGATCATATGAGCCTCCTATCCTTGCGATTTCCTCAACAGTCACTGGAAATAAAGCAATAATTTTTTAGTAGTAAAAGTAGGTATTTTCGCTTAAAAAAACACTGTGAAGTCAAAAAAGAGTCGGAACCATGCTGCGCAATGTAAGAACTATATATAAGTATTCATTCATTTAGCTCATTTGGCCAAGGTAGATATTCTTCACTAGACAAATATTTGTACAGAAAAGTTGTTTCAATGAATATAGATTCAGTAGCGAAAGTTATCTCATTTCTTTCCCGAAAAATACCTCAAACACTTTTAGTTATCTTTATTATGTTTTTTCTTTCGATGATCATGTACAGAATTACCTCTTTTTCGGAAATATAGCAAAATACTGCAACTTCGTCATTTATGAGTTTTATTCAAAGTAATTTACTGGCTACTTCCTTAGAAAAAACAGTTTGAAGTTTCATACACAACTTTAGGTTTGTCACTACATGAAAAAGCGGCAAAAATGCGTTTGGTTATTTTCCAACCTCGATTAATAAACTGAAATGTTAGCACCATATTAGAGTATAATCCAGTTATTAATTTGATCAGAGATCTGAATCTTCATATATTTCAAACACTTGTGATTACGGTAGAAGACGGTTTAAAATACACCACCTTGAAAGCAAATGACGAACTTTCGTTACCAACTTGAACCTGCTTGATGAAGACAGAGACAGGTCAGATATTAAACGGGATTGAGGATCAGACTCTTCACTTCAAGCTTCCATAATTACTTGCCAAATCGTAAAGTGACAGATCATTGTATCTGAGAATCATGAACCTAAGTAAACTTTATAATTCGAAAATATAATTGTCCAGTCATTTTAGGTCGATTTAGGCCTGTATTTCGGAAAGTTGACATACCCAGCTGTGAATTCGTATAAACTTTGTAATCTGGCATTATTAAAGTATTTTTAAAATTCACATATGATTCAACGGCCGCAACTTCAAAAATTGGGGGTCAAAAGTAAAAAAAAACGACTTTTTGCAGGTTTTTTGCCAACATCACGTTTCCAATTGGTTTTATGCTAATTGTATTCGTTATCAAAATTGTAGAGAATTGAATTCTCTACAACTTTTGTTTCGAACATTTTTCCATACGTTGAATCGTTTTTGAGATAGAGGGCAGCGCGAGCGAAGATTTTACATTAACAAATACATTATATTTAAATACTTTTTTCATTAGTGAACTATGACTATGAATTCAATATTCAACTATGAATTCAATAATGCCATTTATTCCTGTATTTCAAAAAGTCATTTAGGGATATACTTCAATTACATTTTAATTGTATTCTCTTTTACGGTAATTGCATTTTAAGTAGAGAATAATTTAGTGAATCTTCTTTAAAATTTTGTTCCTTCACGCTTTAAGCGGCTGTGATACGACTTCTGCGCTCTTTAAAAAAAGGAAAAAACGTTTTCAAGAACATTTTAGAAACTATCTAATTTGGATGAACTTACCGCAGAATTTGATAGTGGATTGCAAACTTTATTAGCTGTTTATAAGGCTCCAAAGTCTGTAGATACTATCGATCATCTTAGTTATGCACAATATGTCAAGCTAACAAAGCTCAATAAACCTGTCCAGTTATCAAATATCCCATCAACAAGTGGAGCGGCTCACCAAAATTTTAATCGTGTTTATTACCAAATTCAAACTTGGTTAGGACATGATTTGGAACCCCAGGAATGGGGTTGGATAATGCGTAACGGATCGCTAAAACATATCATGACCATTTTACCACCTGCTCCAGATGAGTTACTCAATACGATATTCTGTAACTGCAAAAGTGGTTGTGGTTCAAGATGTGGATGCAGGAAAGTGGGGTTGCAATGCTCTTTAGCTTGTGGCCAGTGTAATGGGCAAGCTTGTCTTAATGCTGTACCATATGAGACCGATGTTAACGAAGATAGGTCCTTTGATCCAGAAATCATGGAAGAATTGGAAACGAATCTGGGTGAAGATGATTATTCCTCTAATCATTTTATCTGTTTTTTTAATTTAGACATTCACAAATGTATCAAATGAGATTTTTTAATAAAAATATTATTCAAAATTTCATTTCTTTTCTATTCATTTTTATTTATTAAAGAATAATTACTATAGATTAGATTTAAATTATAATGTAATATATATTTTTCCCTCTACAAATTTATAACCACACCGCAAGATAAGTGTTAATAAATAAATTGATACTTAATTGAAAATAAATAATTAATGAAAAAAATATTCAAATATAATGTATTTGTTGATAGAAAAATGAAATTATTTTCAATTATATGAGCTGATTTCGATCGGGACAACCAGTTGATTTCAAATAATATTTAATCTGCGCTCGCGCTGCCCTCTATCTCAAAAACGATTCAAGGTATGGAAAAATGTTTCAAACAAAAGTTGTAGAAAATTCAATTCTCTACAATATCGATAACCGATACAATTAGCATAAAATCCATTGGAAACGAGATATTGGCAAAAAACCTGCAAAAAGTCGTTTTTTTTAATTTTGACCCCCAATTTTTGAAGTTGCGGCCGTCGAATCATATGTGAATTTTGAGAATACTTTGATGATTCCAAAATACAAAGTTTATACAAATTTACAGCTGGGTATATCTACTTACCTAGGCAAAGCTAGCTGTAAGCTATAAGCTGTTGTTGCTGGAGCTGTTATGTTCTCAATGTTCACGAGGAAAAAAATCATTATTTAGGAACCACTATTGAATTCATTCCAGCATTTCTTCTCATTTCGGATTATATTCTTCTCTTCTGCAGATGAAAACTTTCTGATGACTAATTTTTCAATTCAATAACTCAAAAAAACTACATCAGATTTATTATCAAGGGTTGTAGAAGGAATAAATTTGGCACTTCTCAGTTTCTTCAACGGATTCAATAAATTCTCAGAAGTGACTGACGTTTTTGCCTTGATCTATTTCTTGCAGTGGCGTACGGAAATATATAGAATAACAACCTTAACAATAATGTTTTCGTTTTTAAGCAATACTATTTCTGAGAATAAACACCTACTATTATGGAATTGTACTAGAAAAATGAAGTGTTCATTTGATGTGTAACAGCGGAAAATAAATTGAACGATGATTACTGTTCAGAACAATGCTTTATTCTGTCTTCAAATATATTATCTAGTCACTCATTCGATTACTCAGGTTTACATAAGAAACCAAACACAAAGAAACATGTGTCTGACTCAACCCCGAAATAACTAATTAACTGGCAATAGCTTGAATAACAAGAAAAATTGTTATAACAATAATAATAATAACAATATGTATACCTAATCACTAATTAAGTAATTTCGTTACAGATGACAAACTTCTGGTAACCACATTTTATTATCGTGAATGAAATTAATTTGTTCATGTTTACCAATAAAAACGATCCAGTTTCTAGTCTGATTTAGTCGCGAATGCCTCAATGATGGGTATCATTTACTGATTACTATTCTCCTCTTCATCAATTATCAATCAATAGATCCAAGAATCGTGTGCATTGAGTAGACGTAATGAGGCAAAAATTATCACTTCTGCATCTGTTCATTAGGGTGCCTATCATTCAGACAGGGCCGCGCCGCCTCTGTGTGCGAAGTGTGCGGCGCACACAGGCGCCAAGACAATAGAGGCGCCGCCATCGAAATTATTTTTGTTACACTTACACAACAACATATTCTTTGTACTGGAGTATCGATAAGTATACTTAGATGATGCCGCAGAAGTTACGTCCGTGCCTCTCCCTGATACACCATTGTCACCACCAAATTTTATCGTCACCAATACCAACTTTTTCCAAAGATGACCCTTGACTCTGACCAAAAGTTTTCAGTGCTACTTTGATCCACTATTTGATAGAAAATCCGATTAAACAAATTAAACAGTATGATTTTCCGCGTGACTCTTCGAAGCGAACATTTTCCGAGTATTATTATGAAGGGCATTTAGGAAACGATGAAAAGTATCACAAAGAGTGGCTGCTGTATTCAGTATCCAAAAATGCCGTTTATTGCTTCTGTTTCAAGCTATTTCAAATTTATGTCTAATAAATAAATATTTTTCAATAATACTCAATTGTACACCTAACGTTTCACACTTAGAGCAAATTAGTATTATAATAAGATTGGTCTATTTTCACACAGAAAATTGAAAGTTGGAAATAAGGGAGCATTTTCTAGCTTTCTGTCCAATTATCCACACAACTAGCGCCGGATTAACGTCGTTTATAGTACAAAAACTAGCCGAATTCAGTTTGAACATTAACAACTCAAGGGGACAGGGCTATGATAATGGATCAAATATACGCGGTAAGAATATTGGTCTCCAAAAAAGATTGCTGGATCTTAATCCCCGCGCTTTTTATGTATCGTGCATTAGCCATCGTTTAAATTCAATAATAAACGACGCTGCCAATCTCGATCATCATACAACTGGATTTTTCAGTATTATGCAAGAATTATATATATATATTTGGTAAATCAGAATAGATGCTATCAATCCGCTGTTTACAAATTTACCAGAAATTTATGATGCCTTACATGAAATATCAAATGGTATATCATATGATCAGAAGGCAAAATATGACCCTGAATGTCTAGCAAAAAAATATGCTCCTTTTCATCAATTTGTTCACTAAATATATGCCATATGATATTGACAAAAGTAAATTTTGTGATCAAAATTCTGCAATCGATATGAATATGCAAGTTGCTTTAGATGCTTTAACGGAATTAAATAAATTTTTGATAGAACTTAGAACCGACGCAAATTTTGAGGAAATCGTAAATGATGTCATGAAAATCAGATGTCGAAGCTGAATTTGAAATTTCCAGATCCAGACCCCTACGACGTCGTAAGACTCCAAAGATTTTTGATTATGAACACAAAGACCATACTATAAATGATCCGAAAACCGCTTTTGAAATTAATGTATTTTTTTAAATATAAGATCAAGCTTTATCCGCCGTAGACGAAAGATTCAATTTAATGAATAATCATGATGACGTGTTGAATTTTTTATTTGAACTGAGAGATGACCAAGATCAAAGTCGATTAAGAAGTAGCTGCAAATGATTCATTGGATATTGAAGCGGATGATTTGCGTGAAGAAATCGTGTCGTGTCAGTCTTTTTCCAAAAAGTTTAAAAAGAATGTAAAAATTCTCGAATTTATATATTTAAACAATTTGGCAGCTTTTTGCCCTAGCATCACCATAGCATTACGAATTCTGCCAGTTACCGTAGCAAGCGCGAAAAGATCCTTTTCTAAATTAAAACTAATAAAAAATTACCTGAACTCAACAATGAGCCAGGAAAGATTAACAAATTTAGCAAAAATATCCACAAGGAGGCCATATTGGACCATATAGACATATACGAGATTATTAAGAATTTCGCAGACAGAAAAGGGAGAAGAATGGAAATAATATACATATTTTTTAGACTTTTCTTATGTTTTTTGAACATACATACTCAATAGTTGAATCAGTATTATTATAAAAGTCAACTATTTTGTTATTAATATCTGAGTATACAATTAGATATAACATCATGAATGAAGTATGTATAAATTCAATTCATGTTTTATTTTTCGGAGTAATTGGAAGGCGGAAGCTAACTGGTTTTACCTATTTGGGAAAATATTATCTAAGTATATAAAACTGGAGAACATTTCTTTCAGTCGAAATTAACAAATAATAAAAAAACATAAGTCTAAACATGAAGATTCATGAAAGAAAGAGGCGCTTCAAAGGTTTCGCACACAGGCGCTGTGGGGGGTCGGCGCGGTCCTACATTTCAGACCTTTTAAGTTAAGTGTTTAAGTTAAGTGATATCTATACACTGGTCGATGCTGGAATGCGCTTCCATTTCAGAAATGTCTGTAGTTCTAACATTGCCGTACGATGCTGCCAATGGTTTACATTTCTATTCATTTTAGTCATCAGTTCATCGTTGATGGATGATATTGCTGATACTATTATATTTTGAGAAATGTTTTTGGCTTTCTATTACTCCTTCTTGGTACAAAAGAATGTGGAAATCTTCCAAAGAAAGGAAAGAAGCAATCAATTTGATAAAAGTAAGTCCAATCAAAGATGTATCATGTTAAGAAGTAACTTTCAGACACAAACTAGAAGAAAAAACCCTCTTGAAACAGCTACTTTCATATAGACATCCGATGTTTCGCTGTAAGGCACTTGCCTTATCAGTTCTACAGTATCAAACCTAGATAACATTATGAAAGAAAACACTCGATTATTTCATGAAATTATGATTTTATGTCACGAGATGAGATTGATCTACTCATGTCATCGATGACATCATAATGACAATCATTCGCTTATTTAATTGAATCTCACATTTTTTTGTATCAAGATGGAGAAGTAGAAAGCCAAAACCTTTTTTTTTTAAAGTAACCTATTCTAAAAATACACCCCTTTCAATTTGAACAAGCTTTCTTTGGCTGGGATTTAATCAAATAATCAAATAACGTCTTACTATGTCACCGATGACATAAGTATATCAAACTCATTACGTGACATGAAGTCATGATTTTATGAACGGATAGAGCGTTGTTTTCTAGAATTATCATTCAGATTTGGTACTGAAGAGCTGATATAAGGCAAGTGTCTTAAGGCGAAACATCTTATGTCTACCAGTGGGAATCACAATGTTCCATGTAGGTGAAATTTTACCTCTTTCATTTATTATATTGTGCAGGAATCTAGTGGATGATATCTGATTCAATTCCATAACGATTTTTTGGAATACAAACTGAATAAGGAAAAGTGTTTTTGGTATAGTTTAGTGTTCATAGAAAAGTATTTGTTTCAAAAGTATTTTTCTTTCGTGTAATTCAATGTTTATATGAGAGTAGACAGGTCTTTTCCTTCCTGATTGTGTCTGAAAGTTACTTCTTTGCATGATATACACATCTTTGTATAGAATTACTTTCTTGAAATTGATTGCTTCTCTCCTCTCTTTGGAAGATTCCCACATTTTTATCAAGATGAAGAAGCAGAAAGCCAAAAACTTTCTTTCCCAAAAAATTCATTATTTTTTTTAGGTTACCACCAAAAGTCTCGTAAGTTGACATTCATTGACATATGATTTTGTCAACTTTGAAAAATTATCTTTGCTAGTAATTAATAGATTCGTTCTGTTGTTCGCTATTTGGATAGTTGTACTAGGTGAAATAAATCAATATTTTTTGGGCAGGTGTTCCAAAACTAATAATCTAAGTATAAAGATATATATGGAACTTGATTTAAGGACAAATTGTAAAATATTCAATAAATAATATGAACCATAGGAAGTAACAATAGACATGAAAGAAATGAAAGGGCAATTTGAGTTCGTCAATCTATATTTATAAATGCGAGAGTCACTCACTTAACACTTGCTCGTTCATCTCTGTTTCTTCGTACTGGTAAGTCCTAGGAAGCTAAAATTTGGTATATAGTTGCTTCTCAGGTTTTATATGCGAAATGAGGATATTCAAATATTACAACTGGGGCGCCCCCTGCGGGGATAACCGGGGGCGTTAACATATGAAAATTACATTTTCATCACTGTTTCTCGGTACCGCTATATTTTCGGAGGCTAAAATTTTATATAAAGATTCGTTTTTTGATGTAGACGTACAATAAGAAAGAATTTTCGAATATTTCAACTGGGGCGCCAGCCGCAGGGGAAATTGGCGCGTTTATAAAATAAAGTTATCATTTCCTCAAATACTATTTCTTCATACCGGTATATTCTTGGAGGCTGAAATTTTTGTATGTAGGTTCGTTTTATATTGTAGATGTACAATAGAAGAGGATATTCAATTATTCCAACTGGAGAGCCCTCCGAGTCTCTGCATATGATGATTCAAATGACAGTGACCTGTAAGAAGGCCTGTTAGACATCGTAGTTCATCTCTACTGTAGTCCAACAACTGTTTGGTATCAAGCTTCGAAGAGTGAATAAACGCCTTGGAGTGAGCCAATCCTGGAAGATTCTGCCAGAAGTCCATAAATCTTCTTGCCATCCAAGTGTTCAATTTTAAATTGGCAAAGCCTAGAGCGATGCTAATGACAGGCTCTGGACTTTTGTGAAACTCCGCGAGTGATAGTTTTTAATGAACTGGCATTTTTTTCTAGACACACAAGTCATTCATGAATATTCAAATGAAATTTTTTCAACAGTATTTTGGATATACTCGTATATGTATATTTATGATAAAATTGAACAAGTACTCCTTGATATAGATCTACTGTGACAGTAGTTATCACTTACGATTCTTAAAAAAGATTCTGAATTCTTCTGAACAAAAACCTGTCAACAATGGTGCTTGGATGAAATCTCCGATTATTAGGGCTTCGTGCATGGGCTTCGTTACAGCAGCACTGGGGTTACCTCCATTTTCAATAGTAGGTGTCCAAATGATATTTCGAGCTAATACTTTAGCAGTATATCTGTCATTCGGGACCTGTAGGAAAAAACTCGGTCAAATAAAATCAATCGTACAGCTATATAATTCAATACAATGATAATGATGATGACAATAATAATATTGGTATGAACTACAATCAGTTTCATCAAAGATACCAAAGAAGAGTGATAGAACATTCGTATAGATCAACTGAAAAATTATAAAAATAACGTCAAAATTAATGATAATAATAGTTCTCGCTGTCATTCTTGGCTCACAGCGCTTGATCAGGGCACATGATTCTCGGACCCAATGATCACTTACCTCACGGTGTGGAGAGTGGTCGTTGGTTGATAATGCTGGCGCGCCTTCCCGAATGTATCGGGGCTTTGGGGGATAGGATCTGACCAGCGCCTACTACGGTATAAAATAATGATAATAATAATAATTTCAATAACAATAATGATGAGGAGCATTTTTCTTTAGGGCAGTTGACCAAGCAGCTGATGAAATTGGTTTAATTTTCGACCCCGCACGAGGTGATCACAATTCTACATGACAGAATGGTACTGGATACAGCCTGTAAAGTCATCAGGAGTTCGGATCCCCTTCTCTGCATGGTCCGTGACCACTAGAGAGCAGAAATTGGAGCATTTCTCTTCAGGGCAGCTGTCCAAGCAGCTGATGAACTCGGTTTAGTTTTCGACACTGAACGAGGTAACCAGAACTCTGTCACCGAGTTGGAACCCGTTCAGCAAATTGCTCATATATAAGCAGCAGACATCACCTCACTTTGCGTCAATACAAGTATAAATCAATGCATAGGGTCTTCTCCAACATTGAAGACCTTGGTTTATAAAAGCGCCTGACTTTCGCTTTCCTCAGGTCTAGTGTGCTGAAGTCGAAAACTGAGGGATTCATCATGGCTTGCCAGGATGATGTTTTCAACACCTTACTCTACCGCAGTCACGTGACCCTATGCACTTGCTATCAGCATGTCCAACATATGCCATCTCGGCCTATATTCATCGGCATAACGTGGCCCTAGGAGTGCTTCATTACCATCTACGACCCTCTTACGGTATTGACGAGATGTAGGTGTTGCCTACTACTATTCGTTCTCCACCCTCAGGTTCATACAAGCTAATAAGCCTGATGTAGCCCTTCTCGATCACCAGAGCAAAACAATATTTGTCGTGGAGTTTTCAGCTCCTGCCGAGACGATCACTCTGTCAAGATGGTTGTTCTGATTATTGGAGTCCTTGGTGGAATGATGTCCTCTCTACTCTCGAATCTTAAAAGCATACCGGCTTGCCGCACTGAGGAAGAAATCTTAGCCGCAAAGATGCAGAAGGCTGTCATTCTTGGCTCACTGCGCTTGCTCAAGGCACATGATTCTCGGATACAATGATCACTCACCCAACAGTGTGTGAGTGGTCATATCGGGGCTTCGGGGGATAGGGCCTGACCAGCGCGGTGTAAAAAAATCAAGTAAAGTAATGATAATGATGATAATGATAAAATAATAATGAAATAGTGATAATAATAATATCCTTCGACATAACGCAGCCCTAAGAGTGCTATATTACCATCTAAGGCACTCATACGGTATTGACGAGACACAGGTGTTGCCGAGACACAGGTGTTGCCGTATGCTTTGGGGGATATTGAATCCGTTGTGAGGAACGAGAAGTGCCAAATTTGTTGGAACTATTCGTTCCCCACCCTCAGGCTCAAACAAGCTAATAAGCCTGATGAAGTCCTTCCCGACCACCACAGCAAGACGATATTTGTCGTGAAGTGTTCAGCTCCTGGCGAGACGAATATCGTCCGAAAAGAGGAGGAAGAACGGATAACATATCGAGATTTTCTCTTCGAACTCCGCAGACTCTATCCAGACCACTATGTCAAGATGGTTATTCTGATCATTGGAGTCCTTGGTGGAATGATGCCCTCTCTACTTTCGAATCTCAAAATCATACTGGCTTGCCGCACTAAGGCAGAAATCACCGAGTTGGAAGCCGTTCAGCAAAAGGCTCGTATAAATGCCGCAGAGATAACCTCACTTCTGCGACAACACAGGGATAAGCCAACGCATAGGGTCTTCTTCAACAAAATTGAAGACATTGGTTTATCAAAGCGCCAGATTTTGTTTTCCTCAGGTCGAGTGGGCTGAAGTCGGTTCATCATGGCATGTCAGGATGTTGTCTTCAACACCTTAGTCTACCGCAGTAGCGTGATGGGTGTAGAGTGCTATATTACCATCTACGGCACTCTTGCTGTATTGACGAGACACCAGTGTTGCCCTACGCTCCGGGGGATATTGAATCCGAATTTATGGGAACCATTCGTTCCCCACCCTCAGGCTCATACAAGCTAATAAGCCTGATATAACTAAATCTGTTTGAAAATCTGTGTTTCCGTTAATCAGCTGTCGCCCCCATACGAACGACAACTCTCAGAAGTTGAGAAACTTGTACGAGCTGAGGACTAACGAGGTCTTACCTTTTAACATGTGGTTCCTAACACGGCTCATGCCGTATTACCTAACACACGTTACCTAACACCTTACCTAACCTAACACATAAGCCATGTAAATAGCAATAATCTCACGAGTCAAATCTACTAATATGTTCCGCTGCCAGGTATTCGTCCGTGACAAATTACTTTTCATGTCAATCATCATACATTCCCTATTGATAGAATTTGTTCAATGTATAATAAACACACAGAGATTCTCAGGTTTGCTATCTTTCACATATTCGAAACTTAAATCTAACCTAAGAGAGGTTATCAATTCCTGATTCTGCTGACGAGTGTGAACGAACCCCTACGATTCCCTGCATTCATAACAATTCACTTGGTTTTTTGTATTGACGTTATTTTCATTACTAGTTCTATTTTTGTAATATGATAGTCCTATTTTATTTTTTTCTGTTTTTTTTTGTATAGTCAAAAATTGTACTTGTTGCTACATATTACTATGCTCTGCTTGTTTGTCTCGGGATAAATAAATGAATAATCTCGTTATTGTTGTTGTCCTGACGAAGATGTGCAACTACATCAGCTTATGCCGCGCGGAAAGGTGAAGCGACGGCTTTCATTTGGAAGATTCGTCGCAAGTACCTCCCTAAATATGAAAAGCTGAAATTAATTTCATTTGGTCGGGACGACCACCGATAGACAGGCTTCGGAGTACTAGCTCCTCGTCAGTACCGGAGGGTACCGGGATAATCGGATGGTTCATTCCGTCTAAATATCCCAAACAAACAAAATTATTTCCAACTAGTCATAAGCTCTATCTGCAGTTACAATATTGTTGTTACTCACTATATCATTACTGTAGAAGTCTTTATCTTTTTCAGTCAGAGTCAAAAAGATAATCTAAGTTATAATTGATGTCACCAAACGAAATACATATTTCATTTCACTTTCGACTTCCTGCAATTTCTTTCAGAATAACTTCAGTAACTTCATATACGAGTATATAATTATAGTGAACGTGAAATACGTCAATCTCAATGTTTTCATGTTGAACTTTCTGTACTAAAACATATTCATTATGTTATCTGTAGGAAAGACAATTCTTTTAAAAGGGAACCCATAAAAGCAAAAGTAAAAATGAGAAAAAACTTAGTCAGAAATATAGAAAATAATAAATAAAATAAGATAATTTGTAGTTGTTGATACTTAACGAACTGAAAGAGGTAAACCGTAAACTCGATTTTTTCTTTCTCAGAGAAAACATTCTAGAATTTAATGAATTGCATTTTATTTCTCCGTTGTCGTCGGAATCATTTCAACCACATCTACATGAGTTATAATTGTATCCTCTAATAACCCTTCATTGGCTTTTCCTTCATGTTCTCGTTTTGATTATGTCGGAACTATAGATCGAATTTGTGGTATGCAGATATATAAATGAAAGACTGAATTGAATAAATGTGATCTGATCGAGATTCGAACTGTGTGCGTCCCTGTGTGTGTTTCTTGTGCTTAGCAATGCAATGTTTCACCGATATATTATTTTCCGCACCCACAAAGTATCTGGTAAATGCAATTCTTGAAAACGCTGTCCGTATTAGGTGACCTGGTTTTCGTGAGATTGCTACGGATAGTGTTTCCAGATCTGAAGCACTGATCTGTACTTTTCGATAATCCTCTGATGTAGGAAAGTGCAAGCACTGATTGTGACGGCTTCTCTTCCTTGCAATACTCTTGCTATCTTTCAGCCAAAGTCTGTTTCTCCATCGCTTTGGAGTAGCCATTCCGTTGAAGGTCATTTTTGATGATGTCTAGTTCCTTTTCGAAACCTTCCTTCGTATTGCAGAGCCCGAAAGCACGGTCTACTAGAGTTTCGATGATTCTTCTTTTAGTCGATTGATTGTGGTTGGAGTCGTGGTTCAGATACTGTCCCCTGTGAGTGAGTTTTCGGTATACAGATATTTCCCACTTGTCGGTCCTCTTCACTAATACGTCTCAGAATGGCAATTCGTTGTGGACTTTCTTCTTGATTGTGAAAGTGATGAAAGGTCTCACGCTTTTGATGTGTTTCAGGAAGGCGTCTAGTTTAGTATTCCCATGGTTCCATATTATGCAGGTGTCGTCAACGTATCTCAACCAGACTTGAGGTTTCTTGTTGGCTTCTTCAATGGCCAGAGTTTGAAACCACTCCATATATATGTTGGCTATAACTGGTGAAAGTGGCGATTCCATTGGCAGTCCCTCATCTTGTGTAAAGAATTCGTCCTTCAATCGGAAATAACATATCTCAGAGGAATTAGTGCAGTCATCAACCGAAAATGATTGTGAATACCAACAATCGAAACGTCGTGAAGTATCTTGGCTTGGAATATCTTAATTTTTAATTTGTTCGATTTTTTGTTCAATTGTTCTATTTTTTTTTACTTGTATTTTATTTCACTGTAATTTTATTTCAGGGTTTTTTTGCTTAATATAATTGTTACTTGTAGCTCTTCTTTTATATTTTTGATTTGTATCGGTTCTTTCAGGTATTTCAAATCATTTTATATATTATCAGACAATGGAAGTCTGAACTAATGAAATTCATCATGAAACCTTGTCAATCAGCTTCAAACAATCAGTTATACTTGTTTTTCATCACATTTGGTATACTTACATCAGCCTCTGATATACGTATAGCTGGAGTTTTCAGCAGTAAATCAAGAAGGTCTTCTGATCTGTTTGATTTGAAAGTTGAATCTAGAACCTTCCCCATTGAAAAAGCAAAATGTCTTGGATCATCTTGTATGGCTACCGGCGACAAAGGCGAACCACTTTCCAATATAAATCCTTGGATTTTACCTAAACATTATTGAATTCAATGATTTTCATAATAACACTATTCCAATTCAGTTTTACAACTATTTGAAAGGGGCCGTGGTGTGCACCATTTCAATGTGCACAGTGAAAAGAAATCTAATGAAAACAATTTTGCTGAATACTAAAACTGAAGCATTTTATATCATTACGCGTTTCTCTGTCCAAGATAGCTTCATCAGTTCAGTTACCTTCTGATGAAGCAAAATGCGAGTCGAGAAGAACATGTTCTAGTTCTGTTTTTAATATACCTTCTTCACGTCAGAAGTTTTGATTCTAGCTATCTAGTTCATCGATAGACACATTGAAGTTTTGGGAAAGAAAGTTTTTGGCTTTCTATTACTCCATCTTGCCAAAAACTTTCTTCCCCAAAAATTATTCACTCCTTAAAATATAATCCCTTCAATTCACATTGATATTATCATTTCAATTATGAAGTTTCACTTCCATATTAAATTGAAAGTGAAATGAGTATATCTTTTACTCCATCGAATGGATAATATACCCATATTGAATGAATCATTATCTAACCAGAAAGAAAACTGAAAAATGAATACTTTTGGTGGAGAAGTTTTTGGCTTTCTACTTCTCCATCAATTAAGGAGGAAAAGATAACTACAATAAAAAATGTTCATGAAGATATGTTGTAATAGCTACTTATCTTTACAAGTATTTTTACATAACATTGAATTTCACGCAGAGAACATTTTTTTCGGAACAACTACTTTCATATACACATTGAATTACACGAAAAGTATTTTTCTCATACAATTTTTACTACGAACATTTGTTATGGAATTAAAACAGATATCATTCATACCAGTGAGACACAATGTGAAAGATTATTGATATAAAATGTCATTTATATGGAACACAATCATGTTCAATGCTGTACTTCGAAGTTTCTGGACGAGACATTTGTTTTATCAATTCATCATCACCGTTTCGGATGTTATAACAAGATGAATCACTCATTTCTTCCATATTATTACGACATTAGTAGATCACAGCCGTTTCTGGGCCTCCCCCCACCATTATGACGTATTAATAATTCCTTTTTTCGTTTAGTAAAACTAAGGCGATGTGACCTTGAAGTGTCTGGTGCATGGATCATTCAGAATTTTTTTTCGTATGAGATTTTGTGTGTGCGACATAATGACGTAATTACATTTTGTTGGTGTGTGTGTGTGTGTGTGTGTGAGAATGCACGCTACAGAGTTTATCATGTGCGTGTCTGTGTACAAACATACGTCTGCATACTTCAAATATCCTCCAAGTGATGAATGTTCCATCGATGTGAGTCCTCCAAATTAGTAGTGGTGTGACGTCACAGCAGCAACCGTTTAAGAGAGCAAGATGTTTACTCCACGACGTGTGGCTAAGTAATGCGTATTCATCGGTGTGCTCCCACCTCTCTCGATGCGGTGAAGGCTGTGACGTAACGCATCGCTCTACCTCAGCAGCAACCGTTCAACGGTAGGAGAGCTAGATGTGCACTCCACGGCGTGTGGCTGAGTAATGCATATTCATCGGTGCCGCGCAGGCGGCGAGGACTGTGTTAGCGTCTATTCTCTACGATGGCGCAACGACCGCTGTCTGTTCGTATCGACTTCTGTTAACGCGTCCAGCTGAGAGGTGGGATTGGATGATCCATCAGGCATCTCTAGTGGGTAACAACTAGCAATGTGAACGTTTTGAAATGTAGCACGGTTTCATGGTGGGGGTGACTCGCCCTGTTTGAGACGAAAGAAATGCCTGGCACACTATAAAATCAGTAGTCGAATATATCTGCAGCAGTTAGCAATTGGTAGAGTGTTATTCAGTCCGTAATAGGAGGAAGACAGTGAGTGTATTTTTCTGTTGGAAATTGTTTATATTTTCATACATATTTTCATTATGTCCGTTTCAAAAGTAGACTTACATAAAATAAATAATTTGATTGTACAGGAGGTTGAAATACTACAGCAAAAGGGCTTTTCATCATTGCCAATTGATGGATTGTTACATAATCAAGAATATGTCAACTTATTCTACAAGGTTTGGTAAATCAATTTCATTAAGTTTGAAAGATGTAAGCAATAATAAATCATTTAAAACATGGCTACCGAAACGTATTTCGTTGCAATTCAATGATGATGATATAACTTGTATCAACTCATCGAGTGGTAAATATACGATGGTGTATTTAGGTCAAAGCCCACAAAGTTCTGCTGGCATGAAAACGCGATCTCTAGTCAAATTCAATATGATTGAATAATAGTAATTATTTATAGTGAATTTCTTTTTGTTTTATCGAGTGGTAAATATACGATGGTGTATTTAGGTCAGAGCCCACAAAGTTCTGCTGGCATGAAAACGCGATCTATAGTCAAATTCAATATGATTGAATAATAGTAATTATTTATAGTGAATTTCTTTTTGTTTCGATAATATTCATATATTAGATGATTTAGATGATAATTATATGGAAATATAAATATTACTAACTTAGTTGAATACACTTACTTTATAACTACAAGTAAAATGAGAATGTGAGTACTATATCATGGAAACAAGTTGGAGGTTGCTTATTGTTTTTTATTCGATTTCAGTTTCACCATTCAAAGATGTGGATGCAGTATGCAAGACAAGATTGGATCGATGTTGTGGATCTCAAATCATCGGTTCAACATTTGTCGACTGAATTGAAGGTGTTGGGTGATGGAGCCAACCATGCAAGCATTTATGATATGAGTATGCAATGATGAAAAACAAATAGAATTCTGTCTTCGTGATGCTGAGAGCTATTAGAGTGGTGCAAGAGTTTGTAACAAATTTTTGGATGATGAATAAGAATTGTGTCAACTTTGTGAGGTTATGATTGAACTGAACCTGAGAAGATTCCTGTATAGTCTCCAACCATACTTGCCTAGAATGGATTATTCATCACTCTGAATTGAATGATGAAAATCGAGAGGAAATTGAAGATGGTCGGGAAAATGATTATGAGGAAGAAGTTATTTTAGATAGTCTGTATGTTCCTGTAAATCATAAATGATGTCAAATAAAAAACTTTGTATTATTTTCATGTTTTATTTATTTAAATCCTATTATATAAAATTGAAAATGATAACAAAACAATAAATATGATATATATGAAGTAGAATTAGGAAAATATTACAATACACAATATGAGTCAGTAACAAATAAAAAAAAATTATAAAACAGTACATGATAAAGTGGAAAAATGAAATAGTATCACTAATTCAAAGAGTGTCAATATCTGCTGTGAACTGAACCATCCAATGCATTGTATGTTAAAACTGTATCATAAAACACGTACTATTTTCAAATATTATTGTATATATTATATTGCACAAAAGTACCTACTCATGATGTAAATGTCGTCAGTTCTTTGATGAAAGAACTGGTACTGATATACTTTAAAAACCTTCATCAAAATGTATCCTCTCTGTGTATTTTCTTAATATGTTGATTCATTTTTATTTTGGTTGAATTTATCAGTGTTGTTATTTTTTACTTGCTAAAATATATCTAATGTAGTGAAATAAACATTTATCTACCACATATTTCATAGAAATGTGTCTATTGAAATCGATTTTATGTTGTTATTGATAATTACATACCTATGCTTTGTTATTTGAATTAATTGAATGTAATGAATAAACAAGTCGGATTGTTTGATTTTTCAAATAAGTCTTCATATAAGAAGTCTCTTGTTCAAGAAGAATAGATAATGATAATTTAGGAAAACCTAAGTTTATGTTCACCAGTTATTGGGTGACAAAGTAGCCTGGTTGCTATTTGTATTGTTCGTTTATCTATAAAAATTATCTCAACCAATAAGAAGTATACTTATTGTAATATACAAAATCTAAAGAAATAAACTTCAAACGTTCAAAACAGTCTCAAATATACTTACACAGTAGTTTGAATGGACTGCCGCCTATCAGAAAACAACTACTCCCCTGGCTAATACCACGAACGGCGTTAGATTATATCCGACAGGCGTTAGTGCAGGAATCTTCACAGAAAATTTCTCGCATATGTAGTTGGCAATACAAGTGAAAGAGTCGACCCTCAATTTTGGAACGGGCACACTTGCAGACCGGTTTCGGGCTCATTAGCCACTTGTCAGTGCGAGATAGTGACCATCATCGACCTAAAGTCAATGATATTCCAGAATTGAAAATCGGAATTCTTTCAGAGTAATTCATTCCTCTTCCTAAGTTGGAGCGAACAACAAAATGTTACCAACTGTGAAGATTTCTGCACTGACGCCTGTCGGATATAATCCAATGCCCGTCGTGGTATTAGCCAGGGGAGTAGTTATTTTCTGATAGGCGTCATTCAACATAAAGACGCTTTACGCCATTTATCTAATCCAGGTACAGGCATTAATTAGCACATCACACAATGTGAATCAACATAAATACACTTTACGCAACTTTTATATCCAGTCATCAGAGATTAACTAAGGATGTATAAACTTCTAAAGAAGCTAGCCACTCGCGCCAGTGAAATGTCAGAAAGAAATTCCAGAAAAATAGTGACACTGAAAACCTCCCCCGCAAAAGCCTTGATAATTTTGTCAATATTCGAAATATTCACCTCTCTCAACATTTCTACACTTTAGTATTTCCGGCTTATACCTCGATTATTATGGACATTTGTGCAAATTTTTACTGCAGAAATAGTTCTTGCGGATACTTCTTGTCCGTCTAGCAGTAATTGAGTGATATCTACAGATAGGCTTCAAAGTATTAGGTTAGGTTAGGTCCAAAGTGAGTGGGTATATTCGACTCTCCACCTCAAACCGCAAGGATTTATTGTGGTTCATTCCCATTCACACTTGACCACATAAACCCAGCTTCTTAACGAAGCCGATTAGTTTGAAAGGTGAGTGGTCTTTCAGGTCAGATGGTTAGAGTACGGCTCTACCAAGCTCTAAAAAACTGATTTGATCCCCAGCGGGGCAGGCACAA